CCCTATCCCACCAGGGGGTGGGTGGGCGGGTGAGTGAGCGAGCGGCTGTGTGGTGCTTGGTTGCCGACTGGGGTTAAACCATGACAGTCAGCTAGTACAGATATTGTCAAACACCAAAGAGGAATTAATTTCAAGTTGTTGCATTTAAACTTTAGATGTTTTCTGAATTACTATGGTAACCAGGAGCTCAATTTCCTAATTAAATTGTATAAGTCTGGCCTTCAAGAGCTTCATTTAAAAGATTTATTTATTTATTTTAAAACCAGATCTGGCTCATGATAATCCAGTTTTGTGTATTAATGAGACACAACATAAGACAAATTATTTTAAGTTGTGGTAAGGGGGAGAGGAAGAAAAAAATAGTCCTTCATAATGTCTTTGGAGAGTATCTTCCAAATTTTCTGAATATCCTTAGCTGCGTATTGGGCTGTGTGTGCAAGCATGTAGCCAGCAGCTGGAGGAAAGTGATTCTTCCTCTCTCTCTGGCAGTTGAGACCGCATCTGATTTACTGTCTTTAGGGAGTCCCCAATACAAGAAAGACATTGATGTACTGGAGTGAGTCCAGCAGATGGCCACCAAGATGGTTAGGGGCTGAACTATATGACTTAGAAGTAGAGGCCGACTGGATTTCTTCAGCCTTAAGAAGAGAAGGCAAAGGGAAGATCTTGCTGATGCCTACAACAACCTAATGGGAGGGTGATAGGGAAAACAGAGCTGCAGTGGGAAGATAGGGGACAACAGACACAAATTGGAACATGAGATATTCCAGTAAGATACGAAAGAAACACTTTATACCATGACGGTAGTCAAACACTGGGATGCGTTGACCAGAGAGGTTGATTACAATTTTCTAAGTACTAGTTAGCCCCTCTCGTAAAACAATTTTTCAGTATTTGAATGAATTCTGGTTAGTAGGCCATGGTGCCCTCTACAATTTTGTTACAGTTGCTATAGAGTACTCTCAAGCATCTTCTGGAAAACGTCTATGGGCAGCTGTTCATTAGTTTGTACAGAAATAATTGAGTTGTTGCTTGATAGAATAAAGCAAATTTTGAAAATGTCTGGTGAAAGCCTGTTAAAGATACCCAGCTATGTTTGTCAGATAAGGTATGATTAACTTGTATGGCATGTTTAATTGGAATAGTAAAGAGTTGTAAAATAGATAGTATATTTTATTATTCCAGTTGGAAAAAAACCCAAATAAGGGCTTGTATTCCCAAAAGTATCATACCTTAAATGTGTATCGGTCAATAAAAGTAATTCTCTTTGTGTAAGGACTTTGCCTTGCTTCTATCTTTAGACTGTAGTAGCTAGAGTAACACGAAATCTTTAAAAGCATTTTTTTCACCCTTGAGCTGTCTAACACTTTCAGAGTTCCTGTCATTATGGGGACTGGAGAAATCTAGGAATTTTTATACCCATTATTATAAAATGGTATTTTTGTCCTTTAATTTCAAGGGAAGTTATCCAAGATAGTCAGTATAGCTGGAGAGAACAAAAATTAAAAGGATTTTGTGCCATCGCTAACAGCAGTTGTTGGTCTTCTCTCCTGATTGCCTGCAATTCTGGGGTGAGATCCTCTTCATTTGTGGGGTTTTTTTTTTGGTTGGTGTTTGGGTTTTTGTGGGTGTTTTTTTTTTTTCCCCCTGGCCTTACCCTGAAGGAGAGCGGTGTTGAGATACAGGAAATCCATCAGGGCATGGTATAATGGAGAACACAGCTGATACTTCAGATAGGCATAGGGTTAGAGTGGTTACAGTAAGGCTGAAGGGGGAATAACACCTTTTGCTGTACTTGGTTCTATTTGGGACATTCCTCTGAATCAAGAACAAGTCCAGAAGAGCTGTGGGTTTCTTGACTTCTGCATCCCCTCCCTACTTTTCCAGTGTGGAGCTGTGCCTAGGAACTTACTGTTAGTCAAAATTGCACTGGAGTTTTCTATGCATAATAGGTAATCATAGTCAGGTTTTCTTTGTGGATTCCCGTATTTCAAAATGATAAATTTCTTTGCTAAAGCAAAGAAATTGTTTCATTGTTTTCATTTCATTACAACACTAGCAATGTTTTTCTGGGGGACATAGGTTATTGAATTTCTTTGGCTTAATAGTCAGATAACATACCTGTTTTCTACTGAATATGCTCTTTTCAGCTTTATATGGGAATGATATGGATGAATTTTTTTTAATTATATTCTCACTGGGAGCTGCAAATACAGGTCAGACCGAACTTATGTTGATACTTGTTTGAACTGGCTAACTTGGAAATTATAATTTCTTTTTTTGTCTTTAAAAATATGATTTTGTTTACTGTGATACTTTTGACCCAAAGTGTAAATAGTATCTCCTGTTATTTCCCTGGGATGCATTTTTGGATCTTAATATATTTTGTATTGCAACTGATGAGAAGCAATATGTTGTCTGTATGTATTATTTGTGTTTAATGGACAGGCCCCCATGACAGTGTCAGCAAATATTTAAGATCAGAGGAACAGAGCACTTCAGTGGTACTCTGCTGATCAAGTACACATTTTAACTTTTTTTTTTCCCCCACTTGGGTTACTTTTTTTTTTTTAGAAAGAACCATAAATATTGTATGTGAGAACTGAAAAGCTGTGAAGCAGTCGGAGAGAATATTTGCACTCATAAGATGGATAAAAGAGTGTCTGAGACTGTATTAGACTGAAAAGACGGTTGCTGGAGAAAAGAGCTAAAGGTCCAAAATTCAAGTGAGAGGATATTTTAGCTGTTGATAATATGGAATTTTTGGTAGGATACAGGACAAACAAATTTTCTTCTTTTCAAATTACTGTGTTTGATCAGATACTGATACCTTAATGTGGCTGGTTTTAATTTAATTTTAGAATGGATTTTAGGCTCCTTTTTATAAAGACAGAGTTCTATGGCTGGTCTACATATATAAGAAAATGGATCTACTGAATTATTTGCTGTTCTTATAAACATTTGGTCTTTACTATTTTTTTACCTAATGTTACCAAATCTCCTCTTTAAGGGAAAGACTTTGGATTTTCCCTTATCGTGTAAGGTTCTAATCTCTGAACTTTAAAAATATTTCTCTATTTATAGAGAATCATCATTTATGCGATGATCTATGTGACAAGGCATACATGGGTTGGCTACCATTGAGGTTTATTTGATGATGGTCTTGGAAAGTGTCAGAAAGAGAACTGACTTCAAAACATCTCTGCCACTCAAACTAAGGATTTGTAAAATGGTTTTGGAACTTTGTTCTTTCACAGTTTAATTCATAATAGTGGTGTTAAACACTGTTGGTATTTATAATCTGAAATTTTCTTAAACAGTGCAGAAAGCAAAAGATGGACACTAGGAATCTAATCTGTTTTTCACTGTGTTAGCAATGTATATAACTTTCTTATGAAAATGCTACCATTGTTTTTTCAGTTTGTTTGTAACTGTACACCAATTATAACAGCCTTTAAAATTCTTTTATGACATAACAGTTCACTTCAAAACATATTTGTTCAATTGCTTGCAAATAAAAGACTTCTAAAGTGCATGTTTGGGTTCAAGGTAGGAACTTTAAAAATAGAAGCCCAAAGCAAGTTGTCAGGGCTGCTTGATAGACAGAAAGTTATTTCAGAATGTAAACTGTGAATGTGTGAGGGCGTTTTCTTTAGGAGTTGTGTGTCTGAATTTACTGTAGTCCTATTTCAAAGGTATTAATGAGATACTGAATCACTTCTGTGTTGACAAATGAACATTTTTTTATTTTCCCCTGTGGATTTTTTTAAGTTCTACTAAGCATCAGAAAAGTTGTTTGGAAAATTAGTAAGAAACAGCTACAATGTGAGATAAACCTACATTTAAAAAAATTGTACGTGGAATCAAAATTAGATACGAAACCCCCAACGATATATATTTATTCCTCTTGAGTGCTAGGTCAAGCTTAAATCTTATGTAAGGTCATTTTGACTAGTAGGATGATGGAAGTGGACTGGTAGGTGGTAAACATTAAAATTGTTGGTAGGAAAAAGGAGAGTAAGAAATGAGAAAGCCTTGAACTTTCCATTATCTATATGGCTTGGAAATGACAAAACATATTGCATAACTTTTTGTATGGAGGAAATACACTCTGAATCTAGTCCCAATGATAGCACTTCACAGAGGTTGCATCTCCCTTGCTCCATGGATTGTAAGAAACAGTTCTGGTAGTTGTTATAAAAGCGGCTGGTTGCAGGTACCGATTTATCCCTGTCAAAATAGGTAAGAATTACCTGAGCTACTGGTGTAACGATTTTCTAAATATTATGACTCTGTAGGTTCTAAGATGCAGTTACTGTAAAGTTATAAAATAGTTTGTGTTCTGCAAGCCACAGTCTTGTCTTAGTTTTGTGTTCTGTCCTCTGGGATGACTTAGAACAAGGCAAAGGCTCGCACAGTTGCCAGATAGAAGTGTCTTAAATTACTTAGAGGAGGAAGAGTTGTGTTGTTAAAATCTTGGAGAATTAATTGTACATCTGATGCTATCGGGGGAATATGAAATGTTCACTGCTAGGTGTAGAGCTCTGATTGACATCTTTGTAATAGGACAAAATCCTGGATACCTCTGTGTATTTTGTAACACAACAGTTCTTCACTTAGCAGTGTTGCGAATGTAAGTGCCGTTGCATTTTACCAAAAAAGTAGGTTTAAGGCTTGTGACTTTTTTTGCCTGTGACTTTTCAGTTTAATTTCTAGGAGAGGAGTCTTCCCTCTTTCTCACCTTTCAGTTTTCACTTTGTATTTAAATTTTCAAATAAAACTCCTTTTACCTTTCAATAATTGATGAAATGTACTTTAGTGTGCATGTTTATTGTTGAACTTTATTTACTATTTCAAATATTCTATACAATTTCTTTATAGAAACGATTACAAAAAGAACTATTGGCATTGCAAAATGATCCACCTCCAGGAATGACTCTAAATGAAAAGAGTGTACAAAACTCAATTACTCAGTAAGTATATATATATACTGTTTTATTTTTGCTATCAAGCTGAAAAATGTAAGCAATGAGAAGTCCTCTGCACGCCACTTCCACCACTTATTCCAAGTAACATTCTGAATTTTTGCTTTTAGTCTAGGGAGTGAAACATTGTCCTACTTAATGAGCATATTGCAGTAACAGTGCTGGACACTCAGGAACTGGATAGTGAATTCATTAAATTTTTATTAGACATTTTACCATCTAACAAAATGTCAGTTGGTGAAAGCTTCTGCATATTTTAAAATAAAATAATTTAACAATCTCTTATAGCTACTAACCTCTGAAACCCTCTAAATTTACTGAAATAATGGAGTAGGTGGTTTAGTTTCTGCATTATTTGTGGTGAGTATATTTTGTAGCTGTTAATTTCCGTTACCTTTTTTCTCTAAAGCAAGTGGGGGAAGCTTCTTAAAGAGCAAAGTTACAGAAAGTAAGAGAAAGTACATTTCTTTGCACCTCCCTCCCTGCTGTAGTTTTTTCTGTGATTAGCAAAGCAGAAAGAGAAACATGGTTAAATATTCTGTCTTCTGTCCGTTGAAATAGACAGGCATTGTTCCTGGTATTTAAACTATTTTTTTAATTGACTGAAATTCAAAAGATTTAGACTGTGTTGACATTTCTTTTAGATAATTTTGTTAGTTTAGTTTTAGAGAAATGTTAAAAAATTATTAGCGGATGTAAGCGTTTATGAAAGTATGAATCTCAGGCTATGTGTTCTGGACTATGTTATTGATTGATGGATCAATTTGAAAACATAACATAGAGCTGACTTCTGACGTTGCTTCACATCTGCATTTTTGGTGGTGGCACTCAGACCATGTTACATGAGGCTTTTCTGAGCCATGTATATGCTGAGTTAATCACTGTTGTTGCTTTTTAAATGATGCTGTTTTTTGTGGCAGTTCATGCAGATGAACATGACTAAAACAAATTGAAATAGCACTTTCCAGAGTTTGGTACAAGTAATAATAAACTGCTGTACAACTGCTGAATTACAGCTTGTGTTTCTTGCTTTACTTTGGGTTTTCTTTGGGAAGCAAAATACTTAAGTTTTCTGAAAAAGGGACTCAAATGAATATTGCAAGTGTTTTTCACTCATTTAAACAGAAAACAGCTATTAAGTGAAAGTTTACAGCAGATGAAGAGATGGAAAAGGAAGAAAAATTCTTGGTTTTTTTTTCCTTCTGTTTGTGGATTTCCATTTTTCTTAGGATGTCTCTGTTCCCAGAGTACTACCTCATTATTTTTTTCTGCTATGTACAATTTGTATACCTTTCAATACCTTACACATAAAAACTTCCTGTTTACTGTCATGCTAGATTTTCGAATTGTCACTGTTTAAGAAGCTTTCTGTCACAAGTAATGTCGTATTTTTTCTTTTTGAGCATTTCGGATGTGAAGTAGCATGTTCTGAGTTCATTAATCAAGTTAGGGTTTGAACTGGTGCAGTAAAGATTTGTGTAGCAGTACTAGCTTGGTTTTGAAAGATGTTGAATAAAATAATTGGATGCCATGATGTAACTGGGTCATTTGAAATGTTAAGCAATCATCTATTTTAAATACACAAGGATTAGAAATTTGAGATGGCTAAACTGTAAAGCACACAGGAAAGATGGGTTCTAGTGATTCCTTGACCATAAAAGGAGCAGTGTCCAGGCAGAGTTATCTTCTGCTTAGTAAATGAAACTATTTTAAAAACTTGAAAGTGAAGGTTCTGGATCACACGGACCAATAAAGCTGCAGAGTATTGGTGCAGCATGTGTATAAATGTAAAAGCAGAAGGCATAAGAAGAGATAAGTGGTCTGGAGCACAGATAGATTAAATTGAAGGAGTCTTCACAAAATTAAAATACGGAACAGTACAGCCATCATCATGCTACTGTTGAAGATGCATTCCTCCTGGAGAGTGTGACAGCTGGCAGTTCAGTAGAGAAGCAATTTTTCTCAAAATAAAAAAAAAGAAGAGAGTAATAGAGGGGAAGATAAAATGTGCACGGCTTAAATACACAGGGAGAGTGTATGTGACAGGAGGATGGAGAGGTTGGGAATAGGATCATCAGACTGTCAGCTGAAGGAGATGTCGACTCTTCTGTACACCCTGCTGTTCTGAAAAATCTCAGTTGCCTCACTTGAGCCTAATGTAAATCTTATCTGAGCATTTTTGTAGTCTCTTGCTGAATCTTTACCTTATTGTATTGTGCAAATGTGTAAAACTCAATCAAGGGTGAAAGACAAAAATGGGGAAGTGATGCCGCAAAGAATGGTATTAAGTGATCAACAGCAGAGCTCCAAAATGACAGAAGTTAGATAGCAGAGTGTTGCTGTATGTGTTGAACAGTATGCAAAACATCTATTTTTGACTGGATTAAAAAAAACCCAACAACCCAACCCAAAACCACCACCAACAAAAAAACCTACACCCAACACCCCCCACCCCCTCCAACTCCAGCTGTCAGTTACTTCCATGTTATTATGATGGAAGGAGCAGAAGCAGAGGAAAAAGAATACTGTGATATGTTGAGGTGTTTTCTTTATTACAGTTGCAAAGCATCTTTTTTTGTTTTGTTTTTAATTTTCTGTGACCTTTTCCTTTTTATAGTATTAACTTTTTCAGTTTTGGTTCCATTACCTGCCAGGTTATATACCGTTTAATTTCTGAGTTTTTCACAGGTGTCAGTGCAAGAGGAGCATTGCTTTTCCCCCTTGGATACAGATTTTATTTTAATAAACTGTATTGATGATTTCCTTGACAGAAAAGAAAAACAACATGAAAGAGAATGTGTACTAGTTTGTTTTCTTCCAAGCCTGTTTTTGTGTAGGAATAAACTTTGGAACCGGTCTTTTGTTTCAACTTTGTTTTCTCACATTAACAGTCATTTTATTGGGAACTGATGGGTCTTTGTTGAGTTCAAGTCGTAATTACTTGTATAATTTGCAGCACTATATTAATGCCTGTATGTAAAATACCAAGCTTGTTTCTTTCAAATGTAGGCTTGATGTGTTATTTACTTTTGTGATAGTTATGATACTAATGGAGAGTTTAGAAGATTTGGCTGTGATTGGTAATTGATTTGATGAGTCCTGTGCTCCAGGAGTAAAATTATAATTTGTCAGTCCAATATTAAAAATTTTTTCCCCATTCCTTAGGTGGATTGTAGACATGGAAGGTGCTCCAGGAACACTATATGAAGGGGAGAAATTTCAGCTTCTATTTAAGTTCAGTAGTCGGTATCCTTTTGATTCGCCTCAGGTAACTGCTTTCTTACTTCTTGCTTAATGCTACCTTTAGCTTATAGCTGCATGACACATGCTGAGTATTAGTATCATCCACATATCCTGATGTGAGGTTTAGTTACTTTAATTTGTATTAAACACATTGTGCAGTTGCCTTTTCTTTTAAAAATGATTCTGCAGTGAGATATAGTGCTGTGACAGTCTATGTGGCTTCATAGGAGATGAAGGAGCAGTGTAAACTGGAGGCTTCTTTGAGGTTGATATTCATATCGTATGAAAGAGCAACACAGGGTAAAGTAGGAAGGTCCCCTTCACTGTAGCGTAGGAGTAGAGTAAACGACAAACTGCTGCTTCGTCCCCTCTCTTTTTGCTTCCAACTACTTTTTTTTCAAGTTTTTTTTTTAAGCCTCTTGCATCTTCTCTGCTGCCATTGTTAATACAGCTGGGGAAATACTGTGCTTGTGGTAGGGATTCTCGTAGACACATGAAATCTTTATGAGAGCCCTGCAAGTCTAGTGGTTATAATTGAGGTGTGAGATACTGTATTGCCTTCATGGCAACGTAAAGAACTGAAGGGGCAGCAATACTACTAGGCTGCAGAATGAGCTCTGTACATCCATCCCTCCATTACCTGAGGGGAATGTTAAAAAATGTGGCTGGTAAGAGTAGTGTTTGGCTATCACCCCCACTCTTATGAAAAAGGAAGAAGAAAAGTAGGAGTGCCTTAGTTCTTGTCATGTCTGTTTCAGCTCAAAGTTCCAAGAGTGATCTCTGACACTTTTCTCATTGGTGTTGAAACTGAAGCACGGAGCTGTGAGAGGCACTTAAACCATAAACATTACATATGTTTAGGTACCATGGTAAAAACTAGAGTGTTGACTTTTCAGTCTTAGGTTTTAAGGAATAAACTGGCCACCTGTACTTCTGCAGCCCATCAGGTTTCCAGCAAACTACTCATAGGCAACCCACAGGAGAGTAGTCACTTTTATTTGTGACTACTCCAAGTAGATACTGTTTGTACTCATTACCCAACCTGTGTGTGTGGCGGTGCAATTTATTGTAAAACAGCAAATTAGATCCTTACATGTACACTGATTTTTAGCACAGAAAACAATTAAGAATTTAAGTACTGGATACTTGATTGTTGTAGATGGCTAGACTTTCCATTATAAAAACACTGCTGTGCTGTAAGTTCGTTCTATATTACAAACCTCTGGGTCATAATTCTCTCTCCTGCAAATCTACTTACTGTGAATTGACAGTTTACACTTCTGCTGCTTAATCAACTGGTTGTTTTCTGCCTTTAAATGTATGTTGTCTATCATAGTGTGCATGCTTTTACTTACCTAGTATGCCTAGTTCTGGTTTTGCTATAAAAGGAAGACATTAGTTAGAGGTGAAATACATTACTGGATTATGAAGGTAAGCTCTTCAAGGCTTAAGAAATATCAGTTTAAAGACCCTATGAAGGATCATTCTGCACCCAGTTTTTCTGCTGCTTTAGAAACCTATCTGCCATTCGGCAAATAGGTTAAGCTCTCTAATTTCGGTTTCCTATATGATGAAGGTGTAGCTTCTTTCTTGTAGTCAGTGATGAGGTGGGTGTGTTGTATACATGTTTGTACACATACATAAGTGTTTCCTAAGTCATATAGACATAAGAGGCTTCTGGGTATTATGGTTATGCGTGGTAGAGATTTATTATGTCATTGCATAAAAGATGGCCGTGGTTATGTTGGATAAGGAGCTCAGGAGGATAATGCTGCTACGAAGGTTTCACTTTTACTCCATTTCCATTGGTCCTGAGCCAACTATGTGTTTGACAAAAACTTGATATAAGAGCAGTCGTTGTTAGAATTGCTTTTCTAACCTTTTTTTGACTGTGATACTATCTTTTAATAGAGAGGAGTTAAGGTTCTAAATGCTGTTCTTCTGTATTCATCCATGTCAAATAAAGACACATTCCATTTGAAATAATGATCTAAAAATATTTCCTATATGGTAACACGCTTTGGTTGTACAAGTCCTTTATTTTAGTTAATAGGATTGATGCATTTTACTCTCTATGCTGGAACCTGGATGAGTTGTCCAGAACTTAATTTCTATTGTGTCCAGGGGTTATAGAAATACTAATTTGTGAATCACGTTGTATTTCCTGGTGTATAACATTGTGGCTTATGAAGCCATTAAAATCCAGTGTTTTGGCTAGGCAACTGTATTCTATAGGATATAAAAGACTGAGGCTGCAAGATATAAAAAATTTAGTTTGATATCTTTACACTGCTACCTTTGCATTTTTCTATGCTGTATAACTTCACAGAAAAAACCCTACATTTAACCATTTATTCAACTTCATCTTCACTGGCTATTTAGGCTTCTGTTGTTTTATTTTATATTTCAATTAACAGCTTCCAAAAATGAATGAACCTAACATGGTAAAGTGTAATATTTAGTGTAAGTGAAAATGGCAGAACCGCTTCTTAAAGAAGATATTATTGTTTTCCCAAAAGCAATACAGTCTTACTGAAAATGTGGACAATAAATTACAATTATGTTTGGTTTTTTTTTTTAGGTCATGTTTACTGGAGACAATATTCCTGTGCATCCTCATGTTTATAGCAATGGTCATATCTGTTTATCCATTCTAACAGAAGACTGGTCTCCAGCTCTCTCAGTGCAATCTGTTTGTCTTAGCATTATTAGCATGCTTTCCAGCTGCAAAGAAAAGGTATGGGTTTTTTTAGCACTGTTGGAGTAGAATAAGTAAAAGTTAATAGTTTTCTACTTTGCAAAGTGAGATTTTCATTTCTCAAATTCTAGAATAGGCAAAACTACTATATCTACATTTCTACTACTGAAAAAATACTAAGCTAGAACTGCAAAATAAACAGTGCAGTAAGTACTTTGTAACTGTTTTCATGGTAACCTGCTCATATATCATTATTGGAAAAGAGGAGTGAATGGAACCCTTCTAGTTGTACTAATTGTGAAGTTCAATCACGTTTTAGGACAATTCTTTGTAAATTGATTCTGTCTCTAAAGGCAGTGAAAAATGACTATTGAAATGTCTTTAGTGCAGCTGTTTGTAAGGCTTTGCAGTTGTACTATTTCAGTGATCTTGATCATTGTCATTTCAGGAAAGTAAATGGTGCTAAGCTGCTTTTTTGGTTGTAGGTGACTGGCGCTGATACCTTAGACCTTTTTTGTAAAGAGACTACCCTTTTAACTCTTGACCATTTCTTTCGCAGTGGAATACCTGTGGAAGTTAGATGTGGTCAGAGCTTGTACTGCTATCCAAATATGCCTATTTATGTCACATCCTAGTCAGTCCTAGTCATGTGTATGTGGTAGAAAAACCCCCAAAATGCCTTGGATTGTATCCTATGACTTTGGTTTTGCATAATGATGACACTTAAGAAGAGAGCTGAAGAATATGAAGTATTGATCTGATAGAGATATTTAAGTTCATTTTTTCACCCACTCCAAGCTTGAGACTTACAGATGTGAATTGGATCTTATATATCAGAATTAGATTCCAAACTGCAAAGGAATTTTTTTTTTTTTAAAAAGAGCTGTTCCTTTCTTGAGGGTTGTTTTCTTTCTTTTTATTTATTTGTCCCCCTATCTATCTCCAAACTGTTCGGTATTTTTCATTAATTTTCTGCTTGGAGTATCTCCAGTAAGAATTGTTACCTGGATCCTTAAGAGATTTTTCTTGACAAAGGTCTAGCCCTGCCTGTTACCTCATTTTCACTGCATTCACGTGGTAGCCTTTCATAAGCTTATTAAATAGCTCATGTATTACAATATGAGGATTGTTTGATTATTTGTAGGTCTTTTCTTCTGTTGCAGAGGCGACCTCCAGATAACTCATTTTATGTAAGAACGTGTAACAAGAATCCAAAGAAAACAAAATGGTGGTATCATGGTAAGTATTTAACTAGGACCAGGAATTTTGAATTTTTTTCAGGCCAAAGGCAATTAAAATGTAGAAAAGTAGGATAAATGCATGCAAAGCCTTAAACTCTTTTTTTAAAATTTCAAGAAGTTACTAAAATCCTGTTTCTTTGGTACTCTGCTGTGATTTTTTTATATCGCATTTTAATAATTCCTGATGGAAACTTAAACAGCACGGATTTATATGTTTTAAATTGTAGAACTGAATTTGAATGAAAGTTCTTGTAAACTGTATTAGTCCATGGCAAGTCTTAAGTTAGGGGTTGGGGAAGGTCCATAATGAAACTAGGTTTAGCTCTAAACACAGGGATTTTTGTTGTTGTCAGTAATGCTTTAAGAGCTTTTATGGCAATTAAAAGATGCCTGTATGTATGTAAACAGCTATATGTTTTAATAGATTTCCATTGTTAATCAGAATTTCTAGTGTCGGACAGTTGGCTGACTTAAAGGCTCTTAAGAACTAATAGTCAATAGTATAGTAATAAGATTCTACGTGTACATGGTAACAAAAATACCATGCTAAAATTGCTACGTATAGTACTGTAGTGTCTGCAGTGCTAGTGTTGTGTTGTTTTGGTTTGGGTTTTTTTGTTTGGGTTTTTTTTTTTTCTCTTTCCATGTGCTCTCTATCTGACTTTATACTGTGTGGTTTCTTTCTTCTGCCTCAACATTTGTCATCCTCTTCCCAGAGCTGGGGTTGGCTGTATGTGCTTGTCTTATCCACTCCATTGGTGAGGAAAGAAAGAAGGAGGGGGTAGAGACAGGCTATGCTTTTCTTATCTCCTCTCTTGTTGGCCAATACTTTCTTTGCTTTCCCTAGGAAAATACTGTACAAATGGTGGTTATTGGAAGCCCATGTATTTTGGGAAGGGATGTGTTAGAGCAGGTAATGCTGTATGCTAGGGTGGTGCAGAAGTTGATTCCATCACTACGTTTCACTGAAGGCTCCATCATAAGACATCCTGTTTTTCACTCCCACCCCAGGACATGTTCTGTCCCCTACGTGAAATGAGGCCAGATCTTTTGAGACAGTGGGAGTTAATGACTGGAGAAGCAAATGCCAAAGCCTTCACCCTTAGATTCTTAAATGCCCGTGGATGCCTTACCAATAAAAATTTGGGAGTTTCGTAATAGTTACTGAGACCCATGGGTTTTTGATGTATGGTAACGTAACAGAATGAACTCTGTTTCTCATAACACTCTAATAGTATCTCTAAAATAAGGTGACTTCAATTACAGTAAGAGGAGTGCTGTATGTCATGGGATTAAGAGGTATTTAAGAAACTCAGGACTGTTTATCGTATGGTTTTACATTATGTTTTTAAAATTGACTCCAAGAATAATAATCCTATTGCCTGCAAGGCTGGGTTTTTCATCTTCACCAGATTATTCAGTAGTCACTCTCTCTTCTCTTTCTGTTTTTGCACTCCTGTAATGTGTTTGGTGCTTCTCCATTTCTAGTTTTGCTTTCTCTTTATTGGCAATTTTTGGAGACTTTTTATTTAGTATTTTTATTTTCACTTGCTAGTTATTTTTAAAGAGAAAGAAGTAAAGTTTCATTTATTGGCTTTATCTTGTGATTAAAATATGTTCGGTCTACTTTGAATTTGTACTAGAGTCTCGTTTTGATTCAGGAATGAAGTCTATCAAGGAGAACAGTCTGCAGATACTACTTTGATTTCGTAATCATAAAATTCAATTTGAGTTAAACAAGCAAAACACCAAATGAATATGAAAAGAAATGTGGGTTGTCTGACTCTGAAAGTTGCTATGTAATTGTGGCTCAAAACCATCAAGCTGCTTATAGTCCACTGAACAAGTAATTTAATTACTTCAAAGTAATTACACAATGGCTGTTTTCTGAAAGTCAGAAAACCCTACCCCTCCTCAAATTCAGAGCAACCTAAAAACCAACCTGAGGCAAGAAAAAGCAAGTCAGTTCATTTAAATAACTCATACTGTTTTGCTTCATTATATTTTCATTTGTTTTTTAACTTCCTTTTTAAGTACTATTTACAAAGGAGGTCATGATTAAAAGTTCATTGGGCTTCCCCCCTCCCCCCCCCCCCTTGTAATTTTTAAGTACAAAAAAATTGAATTCTTACATTAAAAAATAAAACATGCCCTATGTCCATTGGACAAAATTTTTCTTAAATGCTAGAGGGTTTTTCCTTCAAGTTTTGCATGTCACTTGCTCCTTTGCTCAGTTACAAGTAATTTTGTTTCTCTTCTGTGGACATACAAGAAGACTGCCAAGGCATGATCTTTAAATTTTCAGTGTTTTCCTAATGGGTCTGAAGAAATGGTGGGTTACACTAAAGTGGGAAGTGTAGCTTGCCTGCTAATTTTAACCACCTCTCTCTGGAAAAGAACTGCCTTCAACCTCATGTACACCTGAAAAGATTTACAAGCCCTTGGAAAAGGTGATTCTGTCATCTTCATTTTCCGCTCCTGCTTCAACTAAAGTGTCACATATCTAATCTTGTGGTTGAACCACTTTGGGCTGGGTAAATTAGGGGAAAAAAACCAATCACAACTAAGAAAGAAAACCAGCTGTCCAAGGGTAACCACTGGGTGAAATAAATGCCAGTGCTGATACAAGAACACGTGGAGGGAGATACAGAGTCGTTCTGCCCCTTCTGTTGTCAGCTAACCATGGGACTGGCTTAGCTTTAGTGTGAAATTGAATCCTTGTGTTTTGAAGAGAAAGGAGGGAGATTGTCATTACTTTAAACAGATTCCTTTGAAGGAGTTTTTTTCCCCAGTAGGTGCCTGGAGTTTATTTAGCTGGGAGCAAATAGTGCATGACTGAGAGCTGATGTAAAGCAAACCGATATGAACACAGAGGGTTAAAGTGGCACTTTGAGATATATTCTGACATGTAAATGTGTGTCTCTGTGCATTCAGTTTATTACAGAGTTTTTAATCTCTCATTTCATCCCTGCCCCAACAAAACAACTTATTCCATCAGCAGAGTTACGGACCCTTGTCTGCTGCAAACTGATGTCCTCGCAAGCCCTGTTTCAAAACTCCTGATCTTTGATAACTAAAAATATTTCTGGATTGTCTGCCCTACCCAACGTCTGCTTCAACTGTACATTGAATTTCATGCTGAATTTCAATCTGAGGGTTGATCATGCTGTGTTAAAGATAGGAGGATCTTCCAGATACAGTTTTCTTGGGCATCCAGGCTGAAATTGGTTTCATAAAGCTGTTGCCTGTTTTTGGTGTTGTCAGGAAGTAGATTTTTTGTGAAAAAAGAGGGCAATAGTGTTTGTTTTTCAACCAGCACCTCCTTACCGCTTTTGGGTTTTGGGTTTTTTAATTAGAAAGTGTTTTCTCTGGTATTTGGCCTAAGCTTTTAGTACGCAGTTCAGATACCCCTTCTATCTCTCTTGCATCCTTGTCCAATCTTTTTTACATGTACAGTTTTTGTTTTTCACCCCCGTCAAAATGAAGTTGTTTTTTTACATATAATAGTATTGATGACATAATGTTTTCCAGTGAGAATGTAGAATTGTTTGCTGCTACTTTGTACATACTAAATCTGTAAACAGTGAAAATACTGTTTATGAGGCTATGTTTTCTAGGTGTGTCACAAGTAAGTGCATTAAAAATAACCAGACAGTAAGTTTGCTTTCTGTTAACAAGCTTAATATTTACTGTTGCCAGATGCGAATATACTGCAGGTTGATGTGTGGAAGAGAAAGTTTCAAAGGGAGAGCTTTCACAGACAAATATTTATTTTAATATTGAGCATAACACAGAAAAGACTGGCATAGAATATTCTTCTTTTTTAGTATGTTCTGTCCAATCACAGTGTCTAAAATTTAGTGAAAGTAAGTTATTTTCACATTTAAGACATTAGGATTACAGTAGTAGCCGATTACTTTTGCATAATTCTGTCAGCTATAGTTCATGTTGATTCTTGAGAAATAAATGAATATACATACATATATATGTATATGTATAAAGGGTTGAGAAAGCCCATTCTGCCAGCTCTTACTGCTCTGTATTCCTTATAAAAGGATTTCTCAATTTGATAACTGATGTGGACCTGCTGTACTTTAAGGGTGCAAAATGTTAAGCATATTTGGGCTTTCATTTTCCTAATGAGCGGCTTTCTAAATATCGAATGTAGAAATTGCTGTCCTTTTAATGGAATATTTGCTACTACCAATATGCTTGGGGGTGTATGTGTATTTTTGGAAGTTTTATGTTTGATATTCTCTTCTTTGTTTTTCTTGAGTCATTATTGAACAAAATCGCAGAATTATTCAATGGGTGTATTTCCGCTGCATGTTACTTTTTTGTCTATGCTAGGAATTGTTTCTGCATACAGCACCTTGCTAATTTGGACGTAGAATGTTTATATGTTTTCCATAAATACTCTTCTTTTATTTTAAAGATGACACATGTTGATGCCACCATTTTGTGATCCTCGTAGCAGAAGATAGTCCTACTGAGAAAATGAGCACTTTGATCATTCAGTCTTTGAACTTTAACCTTTGACTGGAAGTGACCTATAGGCAATGAAGACTACTTCCTTTGACTGCATTTTTACTAGTGTGCATTCTGGGCGCATGTTGATCGCTGGTTCAGTCCATGCAACTGACATGCTTTTATTAGTCATACAGTATTAATGCAGGTGTCCAGAAATGTCAGAATAATTCCATTATTTTTATTTTAAGCTTTTGGAAGAATTCCAGGTCTTCATATATTGTGCAATAACACTGAGCTCCTTGGCGGTTTTGGTGCATCCATTGCCGGCAATGGACATTGTACCAGGGAAAGGTTTTGCTCCTGCCACAAAAAAGATTGATGCATGACAGACCTTATGAAAGTTTCGGATATATTTGGATTATAAGCAAGGGATCGACCATTACCTTAAAAGCCACCCCATTCTTTTATATTTGGATTCTATGCACTGTGATCACAAAACTAGCAGCATGAGTTAACATGCTTAGCTGAAGGACTGTAATAAGATCATTGCATATTTATTAAATTGTTTATCTGCTGTCAAATTGTTTTGACATGGAAGGTTTTTCAAATGACATGGGCAGAGAGGTACAATGTTATCCCTATGGTGAAATAAAACTACTTTTTGTATATAGTTATTCATATCTCTGAAGCAAAGGTATGAGTAATTTAGGGTATGAGTGATTTAATCAAGAATTTATTTTGGAGATAGGAGAGGATGGCAGTGATATAACTGAACTTGCTGCAGTCCGTAATTGGGCTTGTAATTTGTACTTTAGAGCTTTTTCCAAATAGATTGCACACTGTTATTTCCTGCTAGCCATCAGCATGAGCCCTACTGCCTACACCAATATTTCATTTATTTATGTGTTTGAAAGCAATCCATATAACATTTTTTGTTTGCATTCACTGTTTCTTTTGTTGTTGTATGTCATGTTTGAATGTTACAAAACAATATTTTGATTGAAAAGCTTTGTCAGAAGATATTTTCATGTAAATTATTTCTTTATCTTGTAAGCATCATCTTGTCTTTTAATCCTGTACTATAAAAAGAAAAAAAAAATACATTTTTGACAGAGGCTTAATGTTTTGACAAAAAAGTGTGGACCTTCTTATTTAAGTTTAGACTAAAGTATATTTTCTTAACTTGCTTGTCCCACGCAGCCATACCAATTTTTTTCCAGGCTTTTACTTCACCAAAAAAGGGGAAAAAGCCTAAAATCAGATTGACATTTTTCTATGGAGCAACATTTATTGAAATAATAGATAGTTGTTCTTACCACTCTGTAATATTTTGATACTGCAATTAGGTTGTCTTTTTAGGAAGCACTTTTATAAACTTAATACCTTTACACATATGCAAAATTTCTATAACTTTTTTTACTGTTGCCTTACTGTTGCACTCAAAAAAAAAAAAAAAATACAAGTGATTAATGCATGAATGTCTAAATCAAGTAACTACTTGATTTAAAACCAAACAAGCAAAAGCCAAAAAAAAAAAACCAACCCAGAATGAATAACTACAATAACAAACAGAAAATTGGCTGAAAATACTGATATTTTTTCTTACTGCTGTATGATAACTGACAAGTTTTATAGCCTTGTACGTACTTCTCTGTTACCTGATGTTTAAAACATTAAAAAAAAAAAAGTATAGATGCTTAACTCAGGGTGGGTAGAGTTCAGGTGGATTTGCTTCAGATAAGTATTTTGTATGGCAACTGAATTATGGATATTGCCAGTGAAGTGAGGCTACAATATACTTCAGGAACTGCTATTTTTTCTACTGTATTGAAAATATCTCTTGGCCTTTAAAACTCAATGGCAAAATCTAGCTTTGGATCTAAATCTGATGTGTGTGTGTGTATATATATACTTTCACAATGAGCCTTTGAAACATAGACTTCAATCTATTTTAAGAGCCAAAAATAATCATTTTAAGCAAATGAAATAGTTCTGTTCCTAACTTTTTGTTTAGCAAAATTTTATTGTTGTGAGTTAATCAAACTGGTTATTTTTGGAAATGGTTCATATGAAACAGCAGTAATCCGATACTTAATCTGTATATTCATGTTAACTGCTCTGTTGATTGAAAGGATTGACGCATCTTTGAGAAATTCACGTATGAATGGTTCACATAATGGATCCTATCAAATAGTCCACAGGAAAAGAGACCTTATTGTGACACAAGGTAATGTCTCTGAAGAAATGGTTCAAGTACATCTTCTCAGATTCATGTATCTTTTCATATGGTGGCTTGCCATACTACAATACATGGTTTCAGAGAAGCTTTATGACATACTGTATGTATTTTGTTGAAGATGTGCATTTTAGTGCAAAGCATTATACTTTTTATTGACCTATGCTATCACATGGACTACAATGAAGTTAAATAACTAAATTTATGCTGCTCTTTAATACCCCCCCCCCCCCCAAAACTTAGATCAAAAAAATGCACGGTAGATTAGAAGAGAATGTACCTCAGGTCTTTTAGTTTACAGTAGAAATGCCTCCATTGGTTCTCTTGTAGATCTGTTGGTAAGTTCACCTATATACAGAGGGCCAAGACAAAGCCTACATACCACTCAAGTCCTCAAAATAATGCAACTATTCTGACAATGCTATGATGTGCTGAAATAGGGCTTGAATTAGATGAAGGTGGTGCCATCCTTTCCATAGGGTGACCCTGTGTATGTAACTTTCTTTCACTTGGAATTTCTCACATGAAATGGTTACAGAATTGGCTTGAAACGATCTTGCTTTTATTTTGTGTCAATGTTCATGTTGTTAAACACTTTGTTTTGTGTTTAGTGTCTTTATACTATAACACAATAAATTCTTGTTTTAAAATAGATTACTACCCTTGAATGGAAATACGTGTGGACCTTTTCATGGTGGAGTGCAGAAGCACTGTTCCTTACATTCAGCTACTCTTGAGACAAAGCTGTCAGTAATTCCAAAATGCTGTGATGGATATCAAGGGACAAATTTGGGTAATAGTGAGGTGTCTCCTCTTTTCTCCAGAGGGTATCTGTTGTAACAGCTGAAGGAAGTAGTTTCTTAAAAAAAAAAAAAAAAACCAAAAAAAACAAACCACTAAGATGTAGTGCTTTCATTTCTCATAGGTGATCAAATAGTTCCTTATCATGGTTCTTTGCCGTTTGACAAACACTTCAAATATTGAATGAGGAGTTTCAGATCCAGGATTTTTGTTTGCTTGCAGTTGTGGGAAGAGAGTTTCTATTATTTTGTTAGCATATGTCAGGACTGTTAAATGAAACTTCTGCTGCCTCATATCAATAATTCCTTTCAGTTTTGTACAATTTTTTATTCAAGAGATGATGGCTTCTGTTTTGGAGAAAGTAAGGTACTTTCTTGATACCTAAAAACCTATTTTTGTGAAAAAGTAAGTTTCTTAGTTCATATATCGTATGTTATGAATACTGATCTGGATGTTTGATTTTTAGTTATTACTTTATTTGAAATTCTGACAAAATATAGTTCACATCTAAGGTTTTAAAGTTACGGTCTAAGGAGACCATAAAATTCCCATGTCAGTAATTAAATTTTAAAGAACAGATTAAATGTCTGTCAGGAAAGGTTTTAAATATAATTGATAATAAGACTTCCCAGTCCTGTTCTCAGTGATTTTTTTTTTATATATATGTAAATATTTATTAAAATGAATGATGTTTTAAAAACAGAGGGGGAAAAAACCACCTGTGGCACTTGTTTCTTAGAAGGATGTCCTGTTGATATTAAAAGCTTTGCGGTAGCGCAGCTGTATAATTTCTAGCTTTGTTGCGGGGAAGCCAGTATAGTTTTTGCCTCCTCTGGTAAAGCAATTTGGCATTATGATGTGCTTGCACACTCACAAATCCTGATCATTCTAATAAAAATAGGTTTGAACGAACTTGCTTTTAAAACCAGTTGGTTTTAATCCAAATCACTCAATCCGGTTTGGATTTGCTCTCATATGCAGTGGTACCTGAACAGTTGAGTGTTGAACTGGATAAGGGGAATTAAGCTGTATTAGTGATATTCCATCTTCAGCTGCAGCTACACAGCAGGGTGGGAAAAGAGACTTGGGATTTGGTTTGTGTGCAGGTACTTGTTGGCCTATTGTTTACAGAACTTCTATGAACTTTCCAAACCATCAGGCTTTAAAATACCTTAATGAAATTGGAAGAGTAGAAATACCATGAGCCTTCTTTTACTATATTAAAATATAATTCAGAAATACTTTCATTTCATTTTACTGATAGTAGCAATGCAGGATATTCTGTTGACTTGCCTTTTTTTTTTTTTCCCCTCCAGATTTTAAGTACTTTTAAAAGTAGTGTTTGGGTGGTTTTGAGCAGTTGATTCAACTTAAGAAATTCTCTCTGGAGCTACTTAAAGTGAGGGTTTTTTAGATTATAAAGCAAGAGCATTTTCAGTAACTTTGTAGTTCCAAACTAATTGCTGTCATGAAGTGGCTTCTTAAAAACCTGTGTGGGTTTCATTCAGATAATTATTTTGTATTTAAAAACCAAAAACTAAATGCAAAATCAATTGATCATGCAGTGTATGATATCGGTGCAGAGATCAGATTTATAAGCCTGTGTCCACAGTCTTTTTAGTATAATACTCCATAGGAGCTCTTAAGGTGTATGTCAGTGATCGTAGGTTAGATTGTATTTAACCCCCTTCAGTTTACATACATGCTATGTCTTTTGAAGTGTCATTTTTCTCTTGACTTCTGCTGGTGAAAGAGCTGCTTACAAGAGACTCTACTTTTCTGGAATAGGAATTCAACGAAGAACTGAAAACCATAATGATAGTCTCAAAGAAAGATGCTACAATCTGAAATCCTGTAACACTGACCACAGTTGCTTCCCTCATGCTGGTCTGTCTTTTGGTATTTAAAATCTCCATGATAAGACCTTAAAACTTCTGTCTTGTCTTCAGCAGGTGGGAACCTATTCTCTTGGAGCGCTTTCTGCCAAGTAGGTCAGGGTTAAATTTGTTCAGATGAACATCCTGGGCCCTTTCTCTTCCCAGGACTACAATATTATCTGGATGGTGCTAATGCAGTTCTCCAGGGCATTTTATCCTTAGAGATAAAATCAAGCAGGGTTCCTGCTATTCAGTGTCTTCTCTTAGTTTACTGCCACTTGAAAAGGAGGAATTTGTACTCCTCCTTCCTTTCCAGCCTCATGATTCACATTCCTACCTTGCATCTAGCTTTATTGTCCGAGTCTGCCAGTAGGAAACTGACTTGAGAAGAAAAAGTGAAAATCTTCTCAGTTAGCAAATTGAATCAGCTTGCTGCATAATCAGGAGTTCCGGAGCTAGTGCAAGAAATGGAAAGGATTGTGCAGCTGGGGTTTGAGAGGTGATGGCCGAAACCTGATTCATATCTTTAGACTTTTCTGCATAATGTAAAGTACTAGAAACCTTGTTTTATGCAGAAGCTGAGTTACGTGCTATGAGAAGCCTGAGAGCTGGAGATCTGGACTGCCTATGACAATCTATGGCAGGGGGTTCTCCTATCTGTTGTAACTCTGTTTTCTAGTAAAAATTCTGTTTTTGTTCCAAAGCGTTCGAGTGATCTGTTACCTCTCAATTTAGATGCCTTGAGTTTCAGTGCCCAGGATTTTTTTGGTTGGCTTTTTGGGTTTTGTTTTTTCGAAATAGCAAGGCTGCTAGCATTGCTCTATGTGGATATTTTTGGTTAAGTTTTTATCAAAGCAACATTGTCAAACCTTAATCAAATACGGAGTTACAGATTCAGTGAAGCTGCTCATAAAATGCCCAGTTATTTTCCAAAAGGAAAGCAATCATTATGTTACAAATCAAATGTTCTTGAGATTAGATAGAAAGCCAAATGTGGTACGGTCATCTTCTAATACAGAAAACACTTGAAACAGAAGTCTCAGATACAGATCTCATTTGTCTGTTGTATGCTTAAAGCACAGGACTCTTGCACTGTGGTAGGAGGTTCTCAAGACAAAAACCGCACCGTTCCTCATCTCACGCCTTCCTCTGAAGGTCTTGTTCAAAAGACGGTTGAAATCTGATGGTTTTGATCTCAATTTATTATTTGTACTGGATCAGTAAAGAGCATGTGACAGCTGTCATTCTGACCGGTGACGAAGGGTGAATAGCTCTTGACTCTCTCTCTCTCTTATTCTCTAAACTGCCCGTATGTCTACAGAAAACATTGGTAGCTATATTTCACATGCACAAAATAAAGTACACCTTTATTGAGTGTAGACAATTTATCAAAGTTAGTATTCTGAAAGTAGCAGTATAGAAAGTATACATCACTAAGTAAACAAGTCACAAAGACTGATAAAACACCCAATCTCCAGATGATTTAAGAGTATATCGAGCCTGAAGTCTTTATTTGCATAAGGATTTGAGTTTACAGGAACAGAGAAATTGGGGAGCATCACCTTGCACCAATGTGTTTTCTATCACACTGAGTTTTGGACTATAACTCTTTTTCAATGTGTTACGTATCTGTGCATTATTATATGCCCCAAGCAGTAATTTCTGTCTGCAGCATCATGCTGGATTAACAGGTGACTTCAGCTTCCTTAAGTAATAGTCCAGAGAATCCTGTGTTGGGAACGATCTCCCAAATGCTCCTG